CGCCAGCGGGTCGGCGTTCCTGCGACGGGTCGGCGAGGTCCGCTTTGCCTTGCCCATGTCGTCGTCAGAGGAGAGAGGCGGTGGTGTGGCCAGTGCGGGCGGGAGCAGCGCGGCCACGACGCCGATGCTGAGTCCTGACACCGGGAAGGCGGGGGGTGGCGGGTTCGATATTGGGAGAGGAGGAGAGGGGGGAAATAGGAGGCTGGGGCGGGGAATGATGCTGCTGTTGTTGGGAAGTGAGAGGAGGGGAGGTGGAGAGAGAGAGGTGGTTAAGGTCGAAGGAGGTTGCGGCCTTGGGATAAGCCTAGTCATTTGACTTGCTCATTGTGGGCGTGTAAGAATTAGCGACACTCGGGAATCTAGTCAGGAGCGTGTGTCGAGCGTAAAATACCTTGTGGCATTGGAAGCCATGTGTGTGCTACGAATAGCAATAGCGGACTAAACTTTCGGAGTGTCTGAAAACAGAAATTTTGCTCCTCTCAGCGGCGAGGAAATATAGTAAAACTAAAAGCACATTTGATTGTTGCTCATCATGTTAACGAAGCTTGACATGGACAAACACTTGGTGTTGATTACAGCACATATCTCAACCACCTCCACTGACAGAGCGTGCCTCTGTCTAGATTCTCTCAAGGCGTGCTCTCTCGCGCCGCACAATTCACGTCTCGTTGTTGGATGCATTGATCATGCAGCCACACTTCCACAATACTCTCTCACCTACCCCACTTCTCCCTCCCCCTGCCCCTTTCTGCTTCGTCGTTGGATCTTGCACCTCAGATGAATTCCACATAGTCCTTGAACTCGTCGTAGAACGAAGGATCAATCCCCTGATCCAGCAGTTTCTGTTTCTGCTCCTCCTCGCTACTCTTCTTCTCCAGGGACACGATATTGTCGTCATTGACGCTCCTGGTTCGGGCCTGCTGGCCGGCCTCGTCAGATGTAGGCTTTGCGGCTGTGGGATTTGAAATTTCCCCATGCGAATCACGGATACGGATAACCGGGGTAGAATCATGACTATCATGGCCTTTTTGCGATTTATCCTCCTCGGTAAGAGCATCAATAGGAGCAGCGTTGGCACGCTCTGGCGACGTAAAAAAGAGCTTCTTGTAAGGACTTGTGACAGGCTCGTTGTAGCTTGACGGATCAAATACATGTTGCTCTTGACCAGCACCGGGTGAGCGAGACGGCAAGGGATCAAGTGCATCCAGATTTTCTTGCTTGAAACCATAGATACCATCATCCCCATCGAAGAGATCGTCGGCTGATGGTCGCTCGGCTCTTGAGGAGCTTGATTCATGTACAGTACTAGACGAGAAAGATGCATTGGACGATATGAGCTTCTTCCTGTTTTGCCTGCAGTCGGAGTCATTCTTGAGCTGCAACGAGTCGTCCAAACCAACCATGCTCGCCTCGAGCAAAAAAGTGTCGTTCTCGTCCTCAAAATCCAAGTCGTCGCTATCAAGGTCGAATAAAGTATCCTTGCCACTGGTGTTCTTGCTCGTTCCACCAAACCTGTTCAGCTCATGCTCCTTCTCAAGCGGCCCAACCGGTTGTGCGAAATCCTCAAAATCTTCGGGACCAATTTCATTGGCCCAGTCTGGGTTTGGTGGACGGTCGTTCATATTTTCAATAGAGAGTTTACCTCCAGCATCAATGTACGGATGCTCATGCACCTTGCTGAACTTTGAGTTTGTGAGAGTTGTGGATGGTCTATGAGTCGGCAAATCTGGAGTAGTCATCTTGTGGAGTTTCACAAGATTTTCCACTTTCTTTGCGCTCGGGGTAGGATGACGTCTTTTCTGAATCCCTTCGTTATACGAAGACTGCTTGGGCTCAACCTGAGCACTTGTGGACCTCGATGAAGATTGCTCTGAGGAATTGTTGTTCACAAGATCCAGTACAGAGGCAATAGAAGTATGGTCCTCGGCAGTAAGGGAGCTGGATTTTTTAGGTGGTTTTGGAGGCTTATCAAGGCCGTCCTTGCAACATAGATGCTTGCATCTGGCCTTGTCCTTGCATTTGTGATTACATGCCCACTTCCCGTTCTTCAGTTGTGGAGGCTCACAATCGTTGTTGTCCGTTCGTTGCTTTTTGAAGTTTGCAAGCTTCTTGACGGGTTGGGTACTGTCTTTTGGGGGGAGAGATGCCAATTCATCCTCGAAAGCATCGATGTCCATGATTTCGACATTTTCGGCAGCCAGCAGATCACCATCGTCAAGTCCGCTATCATTGAAATCTTCAGATCGTTGGCGCTTGCCGCCTGCACTGGGATATTGTCTGCTGTTTAGTCCGTCCTTTCCGGCCCCATCCGTCTTGTCGCCTTCTTTTTGCTCCATGGATGTTGGAAATAACCATGCGGGAAGATTAGGTCTCAGCTCAGCAGACCTACATGTTCCGGCTATCTCATCACACATGACGTGACATAAAATGTATTGAGAAGGTTTTGTGAGCTCAGTAGTCATGAAGACTTCGTGGCTATTATGCAACTTCGAAGCTGCTATACGTCGGAAGTCGATAAGCTGACCATCAGATGTCTCAGCAAGAAAGCAAACGTAGATCAGTTTCTTGCGAAAGAAGGCTGGAACATTCTCATTCACAAACCCAATCTCGGCCTTGACCCTGATTTTGACGCATCTTTGAGGCTTCATCTCTTTGCCTGCCATCTTGACCAATACACGTAGTTTGGGAAACTGTGCAAGTTTCGACAACAGCTTCATGCCAAATGGTGGACCACGGCCAATGACGCTCTCGATTCGGTGAGCTTCCGTGTTCTCCAGTGCTTCAATACTGTTGATACCGGCATTTGCAAGTTTCCTCACTGCTACATTTCCAACTTGCTCCAACTGTTTTAATTGCAAGGGTGAACTGTCCCATACGCGTGCCGCAAAGCTACGAGCAAGCTCAAGCGCATGCCGAGCTGCCACGGAATCGCCGCGAGCGAGCTGGCAGTCAGTGACGCAGCGAACCAGGCGACTGACATGTTGGAAGACCATGGCTTTGTCTTGCTGAAACTGGCTCTTGTGTTTCGAAAGTTGCTCAGACGCCGGAAAGTCCATGGCCCCAAGCTCGGCTTGAAGAAGTAAAGAGACCTTGTGGGCGGGTAATGCAATGTCTACCTGGATGGGGAATTTGATACCTACATCCTTGTTGATGTGTTTGTAAAGCGATTTCTCTCCGGCCTTCAGACGTATGTCATTAAACTCGGCAGCTTGTGCAATCGCAGACATCTAATTCTGTTAGCCTGGTCACTGGGATGGCCATAGTTATTCGACTTACGATCTCAGAGAGTTTGGCTTTGGGCGCCAGCGACAAGAAAACCCTCATAGTGTCGAACTTCACATAATAGCGAGCCATCGCATCACCGAATTCGGTGCAGTTGAGCTTGCCTTCCGTGGACACCAGATCTGCTCCTTGTAACAATGCTACGTCTTTTGCACATATTTCATGCAGTAGTTCGTCGTTGTCTCTGCTTTTGATGTCTTCCTTCAATCTGTAATGATTGGTGTTTCGGCTCAAGCGAACAAAGAGGAATGTCGAGGCCAGCCACCTTCTTGCGGAGGCGAGATCAAACACAGTTCCAAGCCCTATCTCAGCATTCAGATGATCAATGAGATTGAGGTGCAAGCAGCTTTCGAGAGGTTCTTGCCCAGACACCAGTCTGTTATAGTGATCCACGCGGTCACTGCGAGTCAATATTACTGCACAAGCAGACTGCTCGAACTGCGGTCGACCAGCACGTCCAAGCATCTGCATCATCTCCAAATCAGCGTATTCCTGAGAACCATTGTCGGTCCAGCCCGCCGTTCCCTTGATCACTACAAGATAACATGGAAGATTGACACCAATGGCCAGGGTGGATGTGCAGCAGATGATGCTGATGTTATGAGACAGGAAAGCTTGCTCGACGGCTCGACGATCAGAAGCATCAAGGCCTGCGTGGTGAAAGGCAACACCGGCAGAAACGAATTCTAATGATGATTAGTCTAAGCTTAGACCATTCATCAAAACGCTGACTCACGGCGTAAGTCATTGTCCAAGATCCCAGGGGGCCGTAATGGACCAGACCATAAACGGTTATGAGTGGTGGTTGATGTCCACAGTTGCGCCAGACTCTTTGCTGTCTTGACACATGACTTGCGATAAGGACAGAAGATAAGGATTGGCTTTCCTTGGGAATGTTTCGCAATGACCTCTGGCAGTCTACCCAGAGGTTAGTAAATTGTCAAGTCATTCGCAGAGATATCTACTTCGACTCCAAAATGCTATCAAATACAAAATTATTCGACTTGACTGGGTATCCGTAAACAACTTTGGAAAGTTTAACAGGTCTAAAGTCCTCGTCGAACACTTCTCGGCGGGCTGGAAGATCGGGATGGAGAGAGTCTCGGCCAAGCCATGTGGCAACGTCTTCAGAATTGGGAATGGTAGCACTGAGGGCAACGAAGCGGACGCTGGACCCGGTGGATTTCATGCGTGACACCACTGCTTCGAGTGTTGCACCGCGAGATTCTTTCAAAATATGGACCTCATCGATAAGAAACAATTTGACCAGTCGCATTAGCTTGGCGTGATCTTTCCATCGCCTCGTGATGCTATCCCATTTCTCTGGTGTGGTAATGATGATGTCGGCAGCTTGAACGTTACTCATTTGATTGACATCGGTGTCCCCCGTTAGCTCGGCACATTGCAGGTCCAGTGCAACGAATTTCGCCTGCCAGTCATTATATCGCTCCGCACAAAGAGCCTTTGTAGGAGCCTGATACACGATCTTGAATTCTCGACTGTGTACGGAGTTCATCAGGTAACATATTGCTAGCTCCATGACAACCGTCTTGCCACTCCCAGTGGGAGCAGAAAGCACCAGATTTTCATTCGTCTTGAATGCAGTGGCAAAGCACTTAGATTGTATAGCATTGAACAGTTGAAAAGGAAACAGCGAACGAATTCGGTCTGGTAGATCATTTACAGAGATCAAGGGTATACCCTGCACGACGGGAGGAGCATGACCCAGCTCAATCCTTGATGAAGACGCCGGTTTCTCTACGGCTGGGAAAGGGGTAGATGAGGGACCTGGAACCTTTCGTGCCAGTGGGGATGAATGATTGTGCTCCGAGGCGAGGTTCGAAACTGGATCTAGACCATAGTGTCGACGCTGACTCAGGGCGACGACAGTAGGGCTGGAGGCGATCCCAGCTGGTGAGGAGCTGGAGATATCTTTGACTTGGGGCGTGGTATGTAATTCATCTATGCAACTTAGATTGACATAAATGCACATGCCCCAGCTGAACGAACCTCTCATCCCTGCTCGCGCGCCGTTAACGTTCCTTGGTGTAGTGATCAACTTTGGTGGTAGGGATAGCCTGGCAAGTCCTTGTGAAGCTTGCCAACGACGGTCCTGAGCCAGCCCAGTCGCCAAGAGTTCTTTATCTGCATACCCTTATTAGGAGAAGAGCTTTTAAGGAGTGATAGCGTACCAAATGCATCCAGAGGGTCTTCTGTTAGCCGAGGACGGGGAAGAATGTCATCACAAGACTGTCCATTGTTGGTAGAGTGATCTGAGGATATGAAGCCAGAACGAGAAAGATCAGAGTCATGAGCCATTCTTCTTGAAAGGACAGAGGCATCGCGGTCAGCGGAAATAGGGGTAGATCCTTCAGTCCAGGCAGGAGGAGAAATATGGCCCGAGGCAGACCGAGACAGACTATAGCTATCCATACTAGAGCAGTTAGCAGTCGTTGGCCTTCAGCCAAGAGACTGTTGCCTGTTGATGTTGATATACTCGATCTCAACCACCGATGGTGCTCTGCATGTGTCGCTGGCGCTTTGTCGCCTCTGATGAGCTATGACTGCTATGACTCGTGACGACTGGTCGCATAATGAATTTGAGCCTGATGCAGGAGGGGCGATAGATTCTTCACCATTAGCGCGACGCAATCAACCAGGCAGACTCAGGCAAGAACCATTCTTGAATCCGAATCATCTGGGCAGGAGCTACCGCCAAGCCGTGGGCCACTGAGACCGGCAGATGGAAATATGAAAAGTCCACAAACTTCGCCGTGCTGCATGGATAAAGCTCAGAAGGAGAAAGAGACCCCAGACTTCTCTATGCATTAAGTTCTTTTCTCACTGCAACACTGCCTCAAGTTCTGTGAGCTCATCAACTCATCCTTCTTGCTTCGGCATCTCACTGGACATCCATGAGCGCAAAGTATCATATACTAGTGGTTTCCATCAGACCATCACAACTTATTTTAACGACCATGTATTCTTTATACAAGAGACATCACCAGGGCCACCACGATGCCATCATTTCCTGCTCTTCATTGTTCCAGACTTTGGAAGAAGGGCAAACAAGCTAAGAACCCAAGATGCATGCAGGGGGATATTATATTACATCAGTCTAAATGCTTCGTAAAGTAGGTTCCACTTTCACCTTTCCTCTTGTGTTGCTGGTTTGGGCTAGCCGGCCTGCTGGTGCTCAATGCTGCCTCAATCTTGAGTGGTGTTAATGGGAGTTTGATGGAAAGGTCTCTACCAGCGTCCTCTTTCGGATCCCGGTCAATTGTCGTCTTCTCGTAGCTATGTATCCGGATTGGAGGCGGTCGAGGTCTTTTGAGCTCTTGATAGCTATAAAGATATGTAGCAAGAAGAACAACGGAAGTGCCAAGCACGAACTGCTTCAGTCAGTATGCGATCTGCACCGAGTGGTTTCCTTTTGACTTACATTTCCTGTCGCTTCAAAATCGAAAAAAAAGAAGCTTGCCAGAGAGCTAAGCACCATACTGATGCTTGTGGCGAAGTTCTTCGAGATGTTATCAGCATAGAAGATGCAGAAGGCCGCTAGGATGCCTCCGAGCGCTTGGAGAATGACTGATGAAGCTACGATCCAGTCGTATCCATCGAAGAATCCATACCTGGCCACGGTCTCACCATCCAGAAAAATCACTCCAATAAAGAGTGCAGGCACTAGCGAGTAGACGGAGAGCTGAACATTTCGGATCCACATGGAGGTCAGCTTTGGAGCATCCTTGATCACTTTTTCAAAGTACACTCCAGCAAGGCCAGAGCATATGCAGACGCCAATAACCGATAATAGGCCAATGGAGGCACTCACCCGAGGGTGATTCAGGGCCATCTCATCCTCTGCTATACCCTCGTAGGTGGCAGAGCGCTTCGCTAGAGGTGTGTTTGTTGTATCCAGAAAGTGTTCGCGTAAGGAGTCCAACGAACGAGGCAAATATATCCTGCTGTGCCCACTGGGTTCGAGTCCCCCCGTCTTACTATGTGGAATTGAAACGATGGCCACCCCCACCATCAATAGTATCAGCGCGGCCCACTTCCGCAGAGTCAGACTCTTCCTTAAGATTGTGACGCTGAAAATAGCAGTAACAATGATCTTCAACTGGTAGGTGACTTGGAAGGTGGCTGCATCCAGGTTAGAAATCCCCACATATTGGAGGTTGTTTGCAAGTGTGTAGAGGCTAGCCGGAACAGCCATCTTCCAGCTGTCGCCTGTGAATACAGCGCTGGTTAGAGCGCCGAATAATGATGTTGCAGGCGTAGACCGTGGCAGGCTCGTGGCAATCTCGTACAAGGAAACAGTCAAGCACACCACCAGCTTGGAGAGCTCTGTTAAGAAAACTGCAGTTGAAGGAAGGTATCGGCGACCCCCAGGTACTGGCATGACTCGTGTATAATGTAGAAGCTGCCGGGTAAACAGATTAACTCTCGGGCTGTGGGAAGAAGGGGGGACATCTCGTACAAGAATAAGTGACGAGAACTGGAGTGTGAGCTGCGGTCAATGGTGGTCAGCATGACCCTGCCAGGCCGATCGCAGGACTCACCAACGTCAAGGACCCAGTCCGAAGCGAAAAGCCGAACCACGTTGATGAACTGCCATGGTCTCCCACCCCCATCACGACTGTTTCAAGTGTATCTCCTAACTACCGATGGAGGGCTATCAAGGAAGGCAGTTGAACGTGGGATCCGGATGGTTTATGCGCGCAATAATACAATAATATGAGGTAAGGAGTGGACAGTCTTGCAAAGACAAGTCAATCGGGCAGCGCTGGAAGAAGGTGAGTGTGATCTTGGTCACCCGATCGTCTCAACTCGTTCGCAGGATATTTTTCAGGGCCACAATCCTTGTGCAGATCATCCAACTTCATTCACGCTAACATCTCGCGCACCACGCGATTTGACCCCAGTCACTCAGAGAGATCCAGATTGCCATGTGAAGCGAGTCACATGGTGTATTCGATGCACCTCATTCAGGTATCTGATGCTGGTCCCGCTACAAGAAAGTGTTGACCACCTTTTTTTATCTATTTCAGTAGTAGTGTGTAGTTGCCAACACCTTACATGCCCAAGCCAACTTGAATGGAAATTGCCCCTTTCCGGCACGTAGAGAATGAAGATCGTGACGGTGGGCGGCGACCTTGTCGAAAGGAGTAACAGGCAAAAGAATCTCGTAGTGTCTCAATGATACAAGCAGGAGAGGTTACAAGAGTTGTGGGTATTGACGCTACAAACGTCCACACATCCTCTTTGCCGGCCTTTTCTATTTCTCACTAACATGTCCCCCGATTTTACACCCGAGATCCCCATTACCAGGATTGATCAACTGTAGACTCTACCTCAGTGAATTATCGGCGAGTTGTTCCTATGATTGAATTGAGAAATCATCCAAGGATACTCCTCGGGGCAGACGCTCTCCTTTTCAGACGGTTGAAAATTCTCAAGCACAATTAGTTGGCTGCTTTCAGGCCTGCAGCGCGTAGGCCCCAGATCATTCATTTTGACCGTGTGCAAGCTAGGGTCGTTATATTGATCCAAACGGTGGAAATCATGCAACACTTGATTCGAGTCTAGAGTAGGCGTAGGCGGCGAGTCACGGCCTGTGGTTGGCGATGAAAGACTTTCGGAGAATATCAAGCTCACTCGGCCTGAAGGCACATTTGGCTCCTTCCAAACCAATTTTGGAAGGCAACTTTTCTTGAACCCGAGCGGGTTGGCATCCAGAGACGCCCGAATACTATCGGTGTATTCAGAGCCCCAGTCGTGGCTGCCAGAAGGCTGGTAAGTAGAGGAAGACTTGGAGTCCCTGTCACCTTTGACCTGGTGGACCTCGATCTGAGTGTTGTAACGCATGGACGCCTTTTTGGATCTCATGGCTTTCAGCAGTGAAGCCTCTTGCGGGGTCAAAGCCATCATCAGCGTGCTCTGTCCTGGCATCACCCTTTGAGCGTTTTTGGTAGACCATTTACTCGTTACTGATTGGCATTCACCTAGGCCAGTAAAGGGGGCTTCCGGAACGCCATCATCAAGTGTGCAAGGTACTGTTGGATAATTGTAACGTGGAGCGGCTTGCCTGCTGCTACTTCTATCTGGTATTTCAACAGCTTGGGGCTTCTGCACCTTTGAATTGGTTCTAACCAACGAGATGTCTCGGAGATTTTTTGACTGCATAGGCGGCTTGTGTGTCCGCATAAAGGAGGTATTTACTGCTTGAGCAGTGCCTATCTCAACATCAGAGTCGATAGAGTCGATGCCTAGACTATCACGTAGAAAGGGTGCTCGTTTTTCATTAATTTGGCGATGATTCACTTTGTGCACATTTTCATCCTCGTCGTCCGATGAAGAGAGGCAGAGTACGCTTTGCTCATGCAGATCCGCTGTGTCCAGGAGCGTCGAACCACTTCTTAACGATTGACCGACAACACTGGATTTTCCTTTGGTCACTTGCCACTCGTGCAATGCGTCACCTAGCTGATTGCCCTGAGGGGGTTCGAGCTTTGGCGAGAACAAACCCTTCCCATCGATGGATGAGTGATGGTCAGGGCCATGGACAGGGCAGACAATTTTTGAGGATCCGATCATTGGTTGCGGAGCAGTGTCCAACGGAGCTCTATCGGATGCTGTCTGGAAGGCGGTCTCAAGGAAAGCAGGCTGCATATCAGGCTCATCATAGTCATCGTCCTCACTGATATTACCTTGTAGGCCATCGAACCAATTCTGGACCCCACCTCGAGATTTCTGCATATTTGTCCTCGCGAATTTCTGTTCCAACTTCCTTGTTTTTCGGCTTAAAAGTCGCGTAGGATCTAGGGCGGGCGGCTCTTGAGCGGCATTCACCCTCTTGCCGTGGGCGAAGAAGTGGGATTGAACTCCAATTGAGGGCATTTCGGAGGTTGCAGACAACGGAGGAGGAGAGTCGGTGTACCGTTGGGGTGAGAGAAGTGGGTCCTGGCGTGGCAAAGGTTTAGGGAAAAGCATGGAGAAATCGAGACGGCTGGGTCGCTTCTCGGCCGCCGCTTGTCGAGTAGCCTGAGGGATGAAGTGAGGCTTCGGTGGACAGGACACATCTGGAGGCAAGCTTGGGATCACAGGCGGGCATCCTTTACGTAGTGCGAAGTCACGGGCAGAAGAATCTGAAGTCTGCTGAGAAACTGCAAGCGGCAGTTTCTTGCGATCGTAATGGGAGCGTAAGGTGGAAGAAGATTGTTCTTTCTTCAGAAGGTCTCGGTGTGGACTAGACCTTGTCCGTGATGTTGCAGCGAGGTCTGGTCTTGTCGATTGCTTGCGGAGACATTCAGGGCTGGCTGAGGTCGAAATACTGTGCTGGCTGTTCGCATCACAGGCGTTGATGCTTGCCACAATTTGCTGTGTGGTCATAGGACGTTCTGCTTGTCGACCTCGTGCAGACTGCGGCGACCTCGATGCATTGTCGACTGCCTTTGTCTCAATGTACCTGAGCTTCGCTGCGCTCGAAGGATCGGATATATTATCTCTGACCGATTTCGGTTTTCTTTTGATGCTTGCAAACGAGAAGATATTGGAGCCCGTCATCTTTACTGAGGCTCGAGGGCAATGTCGGGTAGGGTTGGGTCGAAGATGAGTGTGTAAAGTAGAACGGCTGCCCTGACCTAGATAACTACGTAGATATAGAATCGATTCATGCTGAGTTCAGACTGAGCAGATGTTCGTAGGCGGAAGTCAAGTTTCAGAAGCTGCGAGCTCTGCATTGGAGGAGGGAAGCATGCAAGGAGAACAACAGTTGAAATGAGCGTACACGGCGCCGTCATCTTCACAATCCCTTGTTGGGAGGAGTAAAAGTCGAGGGTTATGCCACCGGCCGGCCGCCAGAGTCGCCATACCCGATCGTACAAGGAAGCAATCTAAGAGACTTTGCATCATACTCAACCAAAGGTGCCAGCCGATCAAGCTGTGCCTGATCCGGACTCCATCACCCCAGAACAGGGCACTCACATGGTGACCTGGTGAAAAGCTACAATAGTGCCTCGATGTCTGGGGTGTCTAATTGGTGCTGGTGGTGGTTAGTAAGTGACTGTGGATCATTTTCCGCAATTCCCCTTACCTCTGGCCGAAAGCTAAAACAGTTAGAAAGTCTAAATGATAATTAGTCGATTGGTCAAGAGGAAAAGGAGAATCACAATAAGAATTTCAAACTTCAAACGACTCACAAATTAGGTAGTGGTTACGCACCACCTCCATGTGCCCTCCAGAAATAGCAGAGCGCCAATATAGCATGATCGGCTCTCTGCGCTAAGATCTGTCGCTCGAAGTCTGAGTATGTAGGAGGTTTAGGAGGTGCAAACCTCTTCTCTGATGTCGCAAGTTGTCACTTCTACTTACAGAACCTCAACCCTGAACAGTGGTGAAAGCTAGTAGGAAACTTTCCGAGGGCTGCATGACTCAGACCAATGATGTGACTTGCTGCAGCTGCGTTGTCAGCCCGAGCAGTAGCGCTTTGCATCTGACTAGCTTTGCATCTGACTAGGAGGCAAGGAGGGTTCCAGAGTGATGCTGATCTTTAGAGACAGCTGCATGTCGATGCAGCCAGGATGCAGTCCATGAGCTGTACTATCTTTGTGGCTCTCCACAACGGTTAACTGAGACAACTCATCTACAGTAAAAACCAAAAGCCAGTTTAACGGTCCACGCCTTCTACAAGGGTTCACTGCCAAGGCGGCGCTGTTTGCCATGAGGAGCACAGAGAGCGACAATAATTCCTCAAAGTTGGCAAGAATCGCAACAACAAGATGCAAAACAATTCTATCCAGACCAACTCGCTTGCTGCAGGTACTGCCGCCCGTACCCGTACATAACTGCACGGTAGAACAGCGGTAGAACTTGTCCGATGCTGGCAGCGCGGCGGCTGATTAATGCCAAGGCCTGAAGCCTCTAGTACCAACTAGGACCAGCTTTGAACATCTAAAACGTCCAAAACGGAAAAATGGCAACACATGCTATTAGCGCGAAGGTCTCCCATCTTCCACACGTCGCTTTGGCTTTGACAAATCAATGGCAAAATCGACAGCTGCTGCTAAGTCTTCACGAAAGCAGTACGCACGGCTTGCTCCACGCGTCAAGACCCTAAAGGAAGGCACTATTCGCAGGAAATGGAGGAAGTTGACCGTTGGTACCCAAGCAAAGGTCGCAGATCTGCTCAGAACCGTCGAGCGGCCTGCGCTTACTCATGGAAATAATGACAGAAGAGGTGTCGAGGCGCAAGCTTTTGTGTCTGAGTTGGTTGAACAGTACGCCCACACGCAGGTTGTTCTCCGAAATTACTGCAGAGGTCTGATGCGCATAACCAGATTAATTCTAAGACTGCCTCGCATGCCCTTTCCGCCAGGGACAGATGAGTTCAGTTTCGACTTCGAATCTACGATAAATCGCCAGGTATGCTCGTGGGTGTCATGCGTTTGCAACAAGTCTGACTAGTACAGCGTGTCCTTGAGGAACAATTGACAGCGAACACACATGCGGTTGGGCTTTTGGCTGCAGAAGTCGGAGGGGAGACAGCTCTGCTAGAACGCGAGAAGGAAGAGCTCGCGACTCTCGAAAAAGACCTGTCTGATCTGGAAAGATCTGAGGCAAGGCAAGAGCAGCGCTTGCATCCCTTTGTGCAAGCCAATGCACTCGAGACCCCTCCCAAGACGACGGTCGAGTATAATGCCCGAGCCGTGAGCGGAACAACAGCTCCTACTGTGTCTGACCTCGATGATGATCCTAAAACCAAAGATATGCTGGAACAACTGCGGCATCACCTTGATAGCATGCAGAACAACATTGAAAGTACAAGAGACATTGAGGTGGCTCTTGCGACGTCTCAGGCAGCACTAGATGTCTTCAATTGGAGACGATTGGCAAAGGATGAATATAGCCAAGTATACAGAGTGGATGCAACCTGACCGGACAATCATACTGTCTCGGAACAGATGGAAGAAACATCGCCTGTCGAAATCGAAATACATCATATTTTGTGACGTGAAGTCGACGCCCCATTGAAACCTCGGACTAGCCTGCAGCGGCACATAGAGGAGCCTGCAGTGGCCAGACGGAACAGGGGGACAATACACGAGTGACCCCACGCACACACGACCATCTCGAAGTTAACAGAAGGCACCGGTTTACATGGGAATGGCCGAGCTCAGTACTGAAGAAAGCTGTTGGATGTCTGCGTGTGCAATAGTCGTGTCGAGTGAAGTGTCCCTCGTTATTAGTGAACAATCATGCAACGAGCAGCTGGACCAAGTCGTGCGGGGCAGCTCCAGCTCCGCACGCGCAACTGCTAGGTCTCGGCTCAGCAGCCATATTTCTATATATTCCATCCAGCAAAGATCAGTTTCTTTCCATTACAATGTACATATTCTCGTCGACTCGTGGGTACTTAGGTCACGCAAATCATTTTCGAAAAGCGTCTTCGCCTATATCTTCCTTCTGACCTCTAATTGTATTATCCCACAATCCATGCCAGACCGCGGAGATGGAACTGCGGCCGCAGGTACAATCAAGAATGAGCGGACCAGGAAGCGCAGTTCAGTCGTCATGGAGACTGGGACACCAGATGTAGATTCTGGATCAAAGACAAGCCACACAAGTGCATCGCCTTCGGCTTCAGGGACAAGAGCAAAGGAGGGCAGCCCTAAAAGAAGGCGCAAAGTCAATCACGGTCAGAATAACAATTCATGGGCCCTGGAAAAAAAAGTGACACAAGATGCTGACTCCTAATTCCGAGCAGCTTGTGTCTATTGTCGCCGTTCGGTGAGCTACAATGCCCTTGTTGAGCACGATCTTCCTCAGCACTGTCGCATACCTGCATCTCGCTCGAATTCAAGAGGCTGACGGACCATATGATTGGATACACAGCATATGACTTGTGACGCAGTATGACTCTCGGTGCCTATGGGCTCCTCCCGCCCGCAAATTTGTCCCCTAAGCCCAGCTAATGATTGCTCGTTTTGGCGCCCGCTGCAGGATCGGCCCTGCACACGATGTATACAGCGAAACATTGGTCACCTCTGCCACGACGAATCTCGTGAGACCTCGAATAGAAAATCAAAGAGCGAGCCCGATCGCGCGCTACTAAATAACGAGCCGTCCAAACATGAGCTCGGTAAAACCCGAGACATGCCTGCCTTCCCTCCACGAGGCGAATCAGGCCATTCTTTCTTGCAGGATGGAGATGCTTGTCTGAGACCTTCAACACAAGAGGGAGTCCCACCAGGATCGAACAGCTCCACGACCCAGGACCATGGCTCAGACAGTACCACTCAACCGCGTGAGCTTTCCCAAACAGGCTGGTTGTCTCAAAACTGACTTTTAGAAGCAACAGGACTGGGATACAGCGACCAGTGGCCGGGCTCGCAGAGTCAATTTCAGGATATGCATACCTTTCATCCCTCCTACATGTTCAATGCACACGAGGTGACGAATGAGTACAACCTCCTCAACGACTTCTTGAGCACGAGTTTGCAAGACGACGGCATGTATTCGAACGATGAGTTCCCCGCATCATACAATGATCCATCTCTTATCAACTCCATGGCCTCCTCGCTTGGAGGCAGCAATGGCCATTTGCCATTAAATTACCAGCAAAACCAGCCTCCGCTCACGGTACAGAACACTCCTCAACAAGCTGCAGCAATACGCCAGACAAGCTCCATACCATTGGAGAAGGCTAAAGAGACGTATTACATGACGGCTGCCGATCCCTCAGGAACAGATCCACCGGAAGAACGAATGGACAAGCTACTCAAGGCAAAATATGACGCCGGCTTGCTCAAACCTTTCAACTACGTGAAGGGCTATGCACGTCTACAGCAATATATGGATCAGCATATGCAGCCTTCGTCCAAGCAAAAGATCCTGAGACAGCTTGACAGGTTCAGACCCAAGTTTCGTGAGCGAATGCACAGTCTTACGGACATTGAATTGGTGCTAGTAGAAATGTGGTTCGAGCGAAGCTTGATGGAGTATGATCGTGTTTTTGCGAGTATGGCAATCCCTGCGTGTTGCTGGAGAAGAACGGGCGAGATTTTTAGGGGCAACAAGGAGATGGCAGAGTTGATCCATGTACCTATTGAGTCCTTTCGCGATGTAAGTGTCAAAGCTGCTCTATATCAATGTGTACTTATTGAACTTTCCTCAAGGGCAAGTTGGCAATTCACGAGATCATCATCGAGGATCAGCTCGTCAGTTATTGGGAGAAGTTTGGGGCCATTGCGTTCGACAGTCTCCAGAAAGCTATGCTCACAAGCTGCACCCTTAAGAATCCGGATGCGAAAGCCAAAGATCAAGAGATCAAATGCTGCTTTTCGTTTACCATCCGGCGAGACAATCACAACATGTAAGTCCTACCACAGCTATCTGTCTGATCTCCAATTCCTGACCACCAAACCTCTAGCCCTTCCTTGATAGTGGGCAACTTCTTGCCTCTGGAGCCTCGAAGATGATGGACTCGAGTTATGATACTTCCGTACAACAAACCTAATATGTGACAAATAGAAATATTCAGAATTCATCTGCAAAGTACTTTGGAATCCTTGATGCACCCAAACCTATGTCTATCATTACCTCGGCATATGTCCTATTCTTTTGCTCAAGGACCAGAACGAGCCAGCACCCCCCACGCGGTCATCTTAAATTGCCTAAGACCAAATCCTCGAATTGTTAGATGACAGCAGATCTGAAGCATCAATGGAGAAGTCGCAGGTGCAATCCATCCTTGGTGAGTCGCGATCAGATGCTAATATTTACCCTCATAACTGTTTTCCAGACTTTGCATCACACTTGCAGAAATCCCTGGAATGTGAGAGCGAAGCATCTTCCGCGCTGCCCGATCCTTCCGCCTACCTACAAGCCTTCCCTTTATCACAGGTCACAGCCTCACCCACTCGATCAGCCGTAGATAGGGCAGGCACACAGCTATGGAACCTATGTCGAAAATTTGATTGGAACAGGACAGAATCAGGGCCAACCCGTCATGCATCAAGTGTGTGGCCCACTTTACAGTCAGAACGATGCTGATAGATACAGTCCGGGCTCTCGCCTTTTTCATGATTGAAAGTGCGCAGGAGCGAAATCACAAAGCACCAACAAGTGAGCGGTACGCGAATCTTACCTTGACCCAGGCTGATCTGGGCAAAGAGGGGTTGAGGCTGGTTAGCCTTGGTCTTGCGGCAGCAAAGTGTTGCCTCTGTCAGTACATAGTCAACCTTAGGGAGAATTTGCTGACTTACAACAGATTCTAAGCAGCATGGTCTTGCGTCCCAAATACTCGAGCGCGTTGCCTACTACCTTGAAGGATCTTCAAGATGTAATTCACCTAAGCACCTTTTCGTTGATCACAGCCACAGTCAGAGATATCTTGAATACATTCGTCTTCGAATGGCTCTGGTAAGAGTGGCTGCTTTGTGGTTGTTGACCGAACTCCTGACAGCTGTCAGTCATGGCAACAAGACAGGCTCGATCTTACCGAGCACTTGTTTACAACAGTGGACCTTGGACAGCTCAGGAGCACACCCACAGTTACAGAAGACATGGTGGACATGTTATTTCACATCGGCAGAGATCTGCTAAGCAGAGGATCCCATGATATGGCCGTTGTGTGGTTGAAGAGAGCATCTCGGCTGCTCGAACATCAGGACATCGAATGTCTGAGCTCCGATGCAGGCGAATTGAGGCTGAACTTACTGCATACTTCTGGTAAGCTCTACGTTCCACTGCTGACGTACATTGGCTAATGCGAATCACCAAGCAAAGTCCGTGCTTTACATTGCTTAGAGTGCTCTGAAGCCCGTCAGGAAGCAGGAGATATCATGCAAATATTGCTGCGGGTACAGCGTATTCTTCACACGATATGTGTCAGCACACCACTTACAGTCGCCTCTAGGACTACGGGAACAAGCTGGCTGTCAGGCTCTTACAGTTAGATATCATTTCGAGAACGGAGAGTCCGGACCGCAATGCATACCATGCTGGTAGCCTCCAAGTCTCAAAATCAAACCTGTGTCTTACTCATTGTTTCTTACAGCACTCAACGCGATCTCCATGATGATGCACCTGACCAAGCAAAACTTTTCAATGTGAGTTCGACTCGCATAGGCTTGCCCGCTCCGTATTGACTTCTAGCGAGGATTTTACATTATGTCCATCAACTCAAGCAGTACAGGCGCGCATTGTCATCATTCATCTGCAAGTTACCTCTTTCCTTACTTTGAAACAGTAACGAACTGGCTTGCCGCGTTCTAAAGCGGTTCCTCCTACAACGCCTTGCATCACACGGAAACGAAGAATGGATAACGAAGGCTTTTATCACTCTCATATGGATGTCAACGACTGGGGAGTCTACGGATCTGCAGCTCTCTGAACTGGGCACCCTTTTCAATGATCTATTCTCCTCTTGGAAAAGCTGTCTCTGCCCGGAAGCTACGCATGGAGCTCTTGTGGTATGGCAACAATCTCCATGTTCCATTGCTGGACGGCTGGTTTTGTTAATGTAATATCAGTTGCTCTGGAAGCGCATTGAGGACACTTTCGACCATGGTCAATTTCAGGATACAATCAAATGGTGCGAGCTTGCCCTACATAAGCTTTTGGAAAAAGCAGGGGATATCAATGTGGACAAGATCGCACGGTACTATACTCACCGCGATGGCAATCCATGCTAACGGTTGGACAGGAGAATGGTACAATGCTACCTTGAGATCTCGGAGCTTGGAGCTTGTAAGGCGCTCGTGACCCGACTTCTGGAGAGCAAAATGTCAAATCCTCTCAACCACTACCTTGCGTACTGTCTTGCGCTCAGGACAGAAGATATCAATAGCGGTCCGTGCTTTCGAGTCAGAGCTCTCGTGTGCCATTGACTGATCAAATGCAGCACAAGCAGCAGTGACCGCCCTGAATGATTCTCCAACTATGAATGAGAATCTGCTCTATGCTTGCATCTCTAAGACATTGGAGAGCGGCACATCTGAACAAGCTGCGAATATCCTGCTCAGCCTATTAGATAAATACAACTTTGACCCGCCCGAGCACATAATTTTACCAGCGTTACTGAGGTAGGAACATTTATGGATATGGCTCATCGGCACTGATAGCTATTAAGGTGTACCGTACGACTTTACCTTTCCCAGCTTACTCATGAAGCCGACCTAGATCGATTCCTTGTAGATACGGTGTTGAGACTGTTCACGGCGGGTGTGTGGCCTTTGGACTATACTTGCGTTTACTGCTGACCATCATTCAGTTCCAGAAGCACTAGAAAGGCGTGCATCTACTGCTCGAAACGAACCGCGTCAAGCGCCAGATTCCGAGTCTGTCTGTCAGAATGAATTTTCTGCGACAGAGATTATGTGGTTTCTCGTCAATTGCTACAACCTTGCTGTCAAGGTCGCCTCAACCTGGCCAGCTTCGGCAGTTATCAGCTTGTTTGATATTGTCATCCGAGTAGGACAGCTGACCCTTTGTATGCGAATGTATTTTTGATGGAATATTGCAGATCACAGCTCACAGGATTTGTGCCAGTACCGATTTGGAGGGCGATGCCTTCATGGAAAACAATGCCCGCAAATGCCTTTGCCATTTCGCCATCACCGTGGTTTGTACCGCGGAAGCTAGGCAACATTCAGATCTCGATAGCAAAGTATGCGATACCTTCTCCATGGTCTGACCAAAAGATACTAAATGGGCCAAGGCCAAATATTACTACAAAACTCTTACTGCAGCCACCGAGTTTGCCAAAACCTACAAGGTGCTTCAGCAACATACCACGGACGTTCAGGCTGGTCGCGAAGGCACCAAACACTATGGAAACACGATGCTTGAACTCGACTCCAAACGCCAAGTTCTCCTACCTCTAGAATTCGAAGCAGCCACGCACCAGCATTTGAATATGCCAGAGTCAGCAATCACAACGACACCTAACGACCTGTCTGCCATAATCTCAAATGCACAACACATCTCAGCTCCACGCAAAATATACGCCCTATTTGCCGACATCGTGCTCTCCAGCACCTACCGAAATGGACCTCAACATGACAAGGACGAAACCACCAAAACTTTATCTTCTTCCCCAGTTCTACCTCTTCCCACAGCATCGGCCCTCCTGATTCACATCATACAAGCGGTCCGCACCCTTCCGGACTACGACGCCATCCGCGCCTCCCGGTGGATCAGATGCTTAGTCCAGCTCTGCCTGGATCAGCACCGCGGACATCACGGCCAAAAGGATACAAACAAAGATGACAGTGCTGAGCACCATGCAGCGAAAGGCCCACCAAAATCACCACTAACCACAGTTGAGGATATCATCGCTCAAGCTGTCCAACTTGCTAGACAGTCCTTGCTCAACAGAACCACCGTTGTTGACCCCGATAGCGGTAAGAGGAATGCCGGTGATGGAAAGGACTGTGTGTACCCTGCAGAAGAACTAGAATGGCTATCCGCCACTCTCTTCAACCTGGGGATTGATTTCTATGTTTCCACCACCGCGTACCCAAACGACAACAAGACCAGCAAGAGTACTGCCAACATGGACAAGAAGAATGATGAAGCGGAAACGGATGCAGAGGCCCAAGCGAGGAAATGGATAGGCATCGCTGTTGAGATTGCGGACGTGCTTGCTGAGTACGAGAGGGAAGAGGGCGGGGATAAGGGATTGCTCGGTAGGGTTTTGAGAGGGAAGGTAAAGGAGGGACTGGGGTGGGTTGTTTGAGCGTTGAGAATTGTTCGACCGGATGGTGGGACGAAGAAGGGAAGGAAGCGCAGAGCAGAGCAGGAGGGTGTTGGGATGTGGTAGGCTCTGGAGAAAGAGACTCACTCACGACAAGAAGCATCGTGAAGAAGGAAAGGAATGGTAGATGGGGCTGTTTCACTACACGAACGAAAAAGAGAAAATCGATTCGGACGAGCTGAGGTTAGCTAGCTGGCTAGCTAGCTACTTATTCAACAATCTTTACATACCCGTATACTTCGGTCGTTGCATCGCCTCGCTCCACGCCAGCTACATAACTAACAGTGTCCACAAAAGAAAAGAGAAGAGTGCCCGTGCCTGTGCCTGGGCCAGGGCCATAAGATACAAGACAACCCCATAGCATCGCCCGTCCCGCTAGCTGTGTACTACATACTGACTTATATCTCTTACAGTAGTACACGTGCTTATGTAGCTACTGATCTACAGCAGGGCAACGACAACGACAAAGACCACCCAAGCGCCGACACGAGTCTGTTTCCCTTACGCTTCCATTTCCACTTCCACTTCCACTTCAGCGAGCACTGACCGAACAAATGATGGGAACGATCCCTCCATCCATCCATCCATCCATCCATCGAGCATTTAAGCGAAATGAATTTCAAATTCCTTTACATAAACCCAATGGATATGATCTGCCACGGATGGATTACTGTAAGCTCAAGTTCTACCGGGGGGGGGTAATTTAATTTCCCCCAGCGAAACGAGCTAAAAGTATGAATAGCTATGTTTGGTAATACTAACAGAGTCGGGTTGATTGCTCATGCCATCATGTTTGCCAGCAAAAGAAGTGCAATGTGCTAGAAGAAGAAGGGAAAAAAAATGGGGGGGTATCTCTTGGGGTTAAAAACCAAAAAAAGAAGAGCTCGGTTCCTCCAACCAACCAACCGACCGACCGACCAGCCAACAGGCAACAGGCAACGCCAGAAAGGAGTAGGATATCAGGAAGAAGAGTAGAATGGCAACGCTTGCGTCCTGCCCATAGTTCATGGTTCATGGCTCATGTTGTGTTCCTCATTACGCATTTGCGTCTGTCTGCACCAACCACACCCCCGGGCTCACCCACACCAAAGTGACAGACTCCCCTTGACGCCTCCTTTCCCACATTCCTTTTCCCTCAAGGTCGTCTTCCGAGTATTACTTTCAACCTCCGCCCTTTTCCACAGCCTCAATTCTCCTTCTACACTCTCGATTCCCCTCCTCCAACTCCCTGATCTTCCTCACTACCCTCTCCAGCTTCTTCATCTGACTCAGCTTCCCCTCCTGCTCTAACTCAGGAACAAGATCAAATAGCTTTGCAAACGCCCTCTGTGCCTGGTCCCGGCGCCGTTGTTCACTGTTGGTGTGGTTGGCGCGTTTTTGGTCCGAGGTCAGGGGGACGCGAACTCCGCCCGCGGAACCGGATCCGGAAAGGGAGGAGATGGCGGGGGGTCGTTTAGGTTTGTTGGTGTTGGTGTGAGAAGTCGCGGAGGAGGGCTGGGTTTTCGTGGTGGCGGAGGAAGGGCGGGCTGGGGAGATGGAAGGGACGGCGGGGAGGGATTTTCGCTTTCCGCGGGTGGTGGATTTGATGTTGCTGGTGGCTGGTGAGGATTGGGATTGGGATGGACGGAAAGGGGTGGTGGGTTCGGACTTGAGGGTGACTCTGCGCTTCTTTCGGGGAGATGTTGTGGCTGTTTCAACTTCGATGTCTTCTTGCTCTGCTGGTTCGGCGTTTTCAACGAATCCGTTGGACTGGTTCAGCTTCGCTGATTGGTCGACCTCGACTTTTCGTTTTCGTGTATACACAGGACTCGATGGTTCAGTGTTGGGTTGGGTTGGTGGAGCACTACTTTGCGCATCACCTTCAAGCCATTCAAAGCGTTGCATTGCGTTTTGATCGGTCAGTTCAGTCGAATCTAACGGAGGGATATAGCCCGATGGTCCAAAATGCGAGTCAGATCCGAACCGTACCAGTGGACGAGGACCCGAGGAACTCATGTTGTTCGATGCTAAATTGTGAGGCCACGACACAGGATACGCGCTTGGCACGGACGTGGCTAGAGGATCAAAGAAATCCTGGCCGTTGTTGTGTGAGTTTTGATATGTCGCAAACGGCAGTGCGTGAGCCGTGTGTGTGACCATCTGATTATAGGGCACACCATTGGCCGTCATGGCCATGTTGCTCCCCATATGACTGCTACTGAACATGTTACCGCCTCCTTCGAGAGCATTTGGATCTACAAAAGGCGCTTGACCTTGCATGTGAGTGTGGGAGGTGATGAAGTATTGAGGCGTCAGCGGCTGGTCATTATTTCCCATGACTTCCCCTGGCATCATGCCTGGCCCAGCGGTGGACAAGTTGTTCGGCGTCAGGTTGTTGGACTCAAATCCAGCAAAGAAGCCATCGAGCTGCTCGTGTTCGGACAGGTTGAGGAGCGGCTTGCCTTGTGGTGCAGGTGGAGGTCCACGCGGCCTGTAATCGGGTGGGAAGGCCATCCCTTCGATACTCTCATTGTCTATGCGAAACAAGAATTAGTCACGACACCCCAGCAGGAAGTCTACTGCAAAGAAGGGGCTTTGCTTACAGCCAAAGGGTAGGCCAGTGGAGTCCTGGCCATGATATGAGCCCATCCTCTGAATGGCCAACATCGAACAGCTACCCTCGTCACCCCAGCTTTAACCAATTCCAGAGCCCCAGTCTGTGCCTTCTTTAATGGTTGTAGGCTAAGGAAGAAAATAGTAGCTGGTGAAAGTTGGAAAGTTGAGGAAGATTGATGTAATGGCCTGACCAGCGCACGGCAGACGAGATGTGGACTGGGGTAATGTGGTATGATGGCCGTATGGCAATTGCTGAGGCGTAGTGTGTACTCTGTCTTGCCCGTATCGACTGCGAACGCTCGGATCAGGACGGTAGCCTGTTATCTTTGCGCTTCCTTCAATGGACGCCTGACAGCGGAGATTTCATCTCAGCGACGGGAGGATCGCTTGGACAGGGTCAGGGGTCATAGAAGGGAGGTGAGAGGTGCGGAAGTGGGGGTAGTCAAGCTGGGTCGAGTGGGGCGCTGGTAGTTTGGTTCAAGTTGTAGGGACAATGCCGGATCGCCTTGTTGTGGGAAATGGCCGGAAGAAGTGGAAAAAGGGAAGCCTCGATCAAGAAAGGTTGAACGCTGATTCAGTAGAGTCTAGATACACGAACGGAGAGAGCATTGTGGTGGAATTGGCAATAGGTAGATAGCAGGATGGGCGGAGAAATGGGCTCAACATTTATTATACTTAGCATTCTAGCAACACCAAAATATCACATGCTCGGGGGGGGTGGGATGTGGGATGTTGACCGACTTGAACTTGAAGGTCTTAGTGAGCAAGTGACTTGCTCGCATCTTTCCTTCCCTAACTAACTTACTACTTACCTCCTTCGTTCCTTCCTTCTCCGCCGCCAGCGGGGTGTCCCGTGACGTGACCTGTTGGTACTGCACTGCACTGCACCCCTATGACCCCACTAAGTTAATCAGCATCGCCATCATCATCACCATCACCAACCCCATCCCCGCCACAACTACTACTAATACTTACCGCTAACAACACTGACCAGAGATTTGGAGAAGCTGCATCAGCCAGGAACATGGACTCCTGACGATGTAACTGCACTACAGACACACCGCCACTGAGGCGGCGACGACTGTACCTCGTCTTCTTCATATTCAGTGGCTCGGTACTGGTCAAGCATCAACAGTGTTGCCTACCCAGAAATCCTTTTATGATACCCCTCCTGAGTTCGGTCCCATGTCTTCATTGGGTCACCGGCGCTGGGAGGGATAAGGTAGGACGGATGATCCCATTGATTCTATGTGGTTACTCGAGTACCCTGTATCTTTGTCGGCCCTGCCTTCAAGCTATTCGGCCTATGTCTCCAATCCAACCCAATCCAATCCAATCCAATCATCGTAACATTCCGTCTACGGTTTCATTCATGATAATAATTACTATTTAACATCCAGCTTCAGAGCTCGCCGTCTCCTGTGATCTGGTGTAGGTGTGTTTGGCCGTGGTGATGAACATGATTAGCAGTACTCCACATCCCGCTGCGATTCAGTCTTTTGACTAAGCCCCCAAGTCTGCATCACACTTGCCAGGTTATCCAATTCATTTTCCGTCGCTGCTTTCGTTCTTCTGCTACCATCCCTGCCAAGTCGCCCTACGACCGCTCGAAGTGTTGCTAGAAGCTCTACCTCAAGCTCGTCCAGCTGCAAGTGCTCTGTTTTAGGCGCCGCTTTGATCTTCTTCCTGTATGCTCGCAACGTACGACAAACCTGCTCACCCGCCATCCCAATACTGCCGAACTCATTCAAGCTGCCCATGCTTTTGCGCCTATTTTGAGCCTTGGAGTGGTCTCGAAGGTCAGATGGGACCGATGGAGGTCTCCTCAGACCCCTTTTGTTGCCTCTGTTGACATTCCTAGGTGATGTAGAAAGAGACACTCGCGCCGGAGGTGGAGATGGTGACTTCTGGACGGGCAAGTGATGATTGGCGGCCCGGTCTAAACCAAGTGCCATTTCCCTTGAAAGAGGCGATGCTGGACGAAGCGGCGTCGAACTGGTGAACCTGTGCGGTACTTGGGGGAGAGGCTCGAGTCTGTCAGCAACGCACTCGGCAACTGCGTCACCATCTGTCGGCGCTGTGTCGCATCGTGTTTGTGCAGCGATCTTCCTTTTCAGTCGCGGCGAATGTTGATCACGGCTCGGTCGTGCTGGTGGGACAGCTCCATCAACATCTGCCAGATCGAGTTTAGAAAGAACCTTTCTCAGAGGAGGCCGTCTCAAGATTGAATCTTTGGTCGGTGTACTGTCTAGATCATGGTTTGTCAGGGCCTGACCCTGTGCCAGTTCCTGAAGTGGCGACGATGGAGGCCGTGGTAGCGCTGTCGAAGCTTCCCAAATCATGATCAGACCATCGAGTCCAGTGGAGATCAGGGTCTTCCTACTCGGTCCAATCGCATCATCGGCATGCTCGATGACAGCAACATCGCTGATGCCCTCGGTATGTCCCAACTCCCTTGAGAGAAGAATACCACTCTCAAAGTCATACAACCTTATTGATTTGTCTGTTGACGAGAAGCCAGATAAGATTCGACGCGTGCATGAATTATCCTCTACGGAGTTGATCGACAGTGAGCTCAATATCACCGCATCTCCACCATCAGCGTCAACCGCTTTGAAGGCATCTATAGCCGCGCCTTTGTCGATGCTGAATGTCAAAACCTGCCTATCCATAGTTGCAATAGCCAACACATCGGGCTCCGGGAACACCATCGATGTTGGAGATGATTTTAGAGTTATGACCCTCTGGGATATGTATGCCAGTAGTCTTGTCCCGTCGTCGTTGATTTTGGACAGCTTTTGGCGCACGATCACAGTGCGGTCGGACGACGCAGATAATAAAAGGTCGCCGGCAAAAGCTACCACAGTGACAGCTCCAACATGATCATCAAACGTTTGAAGGAGCTCAATTCCTTCATCTCCATGTTGAAACAACTGTACGGTACGATCTCTACTACCGGTTGCCACCAACAGTGGTTGGTCGGAGGAGTGCAGGGCTATGTCGGTTACTTCTGCCGAATGGGCCCGAATCTTTGCAGACCCCCAAGATGGGCAATCGATTACCTGCAGGATTCCAAACCGATCTCCCGAGACAATCCACTGCGTGTCGTCCGACACACGAATTGACTTGAGCTCGTTTACGTACTCGTCATATTCTGAAAAGGACTGCTCAGGTTGGTCAAGCTCAACCTTTTCAGATCGCCTGATTGAGCCGTCCAAAGACCAAAAGTTGACAGTTCCTTCAAGAGACCACGTAATGTAATCTCCCAATGTACTCTGCTTCGGCAGCGGTACTGCCCCCTGTACAGGATCGTTGTGTGCAGGCAGTAGAATGACAGACGACCGCTCAGAGTCCGCTGAATATAGGCCAGGACCAAATCTCTCAACCCGAATATTGCGGGCATCATCAATCGACACGAGCTTATTCGACAGACATCTTGCTGCAATGATAGCCTTCCGCTTCTTTCGCTTCCGAGAGGCAGATCCTTGCGGCGACTGAAAGGCATGAAGAGAACCAGCAGCCGCCGACGGTGAGTGGTAGGGTGTCACTGCTGGTTCATTACTAGCATTGTAGCTAGTCACCGGAAGGGGACCACTTCTCAAGGTTTCAAAACTCTCATTATCGAGACACCCGTCACCGTGCGCGAACCACACTTTCTGGGCCTGGATATCCACTGCTATAGATTGCGCTGGAAACCTCAAGTGCTTTATGGTTTTCAACTCTTGGCTTCCCGTTCGGTCGTCAAGCAAGCACACCACGCCCGTCGTGGTACTCAGAATGGCTTCACTTTCGGAAAAAGGAGCCACGCATGTAAAAGTGGAATCGGCTAAAGAGCCGAGGAGGCTGTTGCGACCCGATAATGTCTTCGGCCCCGGACTCGCGTTGCTATCTTCGGCTTGTACACGTCCTGGCTTCGTCTGAAAGCCTGGAGAAGGCTCCCCAACACGCCAGACCTTGACGTACCTTGTCCCGACTGTGATAAGGTTGTTGCTGCACCAGGCCATGCTCAGGACAGATGCAGTACACTTGTTGGTGAAATGTAATCTAGCTGCTCCAGTCTTTGCATTGATAGACCAGATGAAAAGAAAACCATCGTTGACATCACCAAGCGTTGCCAGCCACTGCGAACTGGGACTGAAAGCTACACAACGGACGCCAAAGCTATGTTCAGTAAGGATGGATAGAGGAACCTCTGTGGAGGCGCCTGCGGAGACTGAGAAGATGTTCACCCTTGGGCTGTATCCGGTTTCTCCCACCGCGAGAAACCTTCCATTTGGACTCAGGTCCACACAAGACACCGCTTTCACTCTCTCCCGAGCACTCCGTGTCTTGGAGTTTCCCTCATCACTCCAGATTCTCCGTGGCGAATGACTGGAAGACCTCTCCTCCGCGCCATGCTTCGAGGCGAAAGTTGTTCGCCGCCGGCTACCGGAGGTTGCATTGGGGGATGGGGGGTTATAGAATGAGACAGAAGGATGTATGGGTGAAGCGGTTGGCGACGCTCTGAAAAAGCGGTATGATATTTCTCCCTCATCATCAATGTTTGCGAGTACCGCTGCTGAGCCAGCACAGTAGGCGAAAGTCCTGGAGTCGTAATGGGATGTCAGCCCACTGGAAGAGGTTGTGGTTGTGCCAATAATCCGCCGAAGAAAGAGTGAGGCCGGTTGTGGGCTTGGCTTGTGTGATCGAGACCCGGGTCGCGCAAGGGGTGTATGTAGAGAGTTTCTCTTCGAAGGCGTCCCTGAGTTTAACTTGCTCTTGATTTCATATGGACTGTTGGCCATGCTATTAGCTTAAGCGAGGAATTGCTCGCATCTTCCTGCCCAACGGCGATCGGATGCACAAGCTCGAGCTTCAGCAAAATTTAAAATAGGTGCCAGTGCTGATGGTGGCGCCCGGCAGCTTTGAAGCACCGCTGCTGGATTGAGTCGTTTGTCATCGAAGCGGTCGATTGTCCAAAGTGATTGAAAGTGGTGAGGATCCCAAGGTGGGAGGGGTGTTAGAGCTTCGAGTCGTAGACCCCCTTAAAGCAAATCACGTCCTCGGTCGTTCGGGCAATGGGTTTTTACCCTCTGAGGCTTGATTGGGTGAAGCGGTGTAAACTCACGAGCATCCAGGCCATAGCAGTCGAGTCTTCTTCTGTCTGAACTTCAGTCGCATTCCAGCTAATAAATACCAAGCTAGAAACCAATTCCGGGATGTAAACAACAGCCAAGCCTTTCAGTAGTTAGTTATCGTCACGTGGTGATACAAGCTGATGGTTGACTCAGATTCCGGGACATAAGACGCTGTTTTTGGCGGTCTTTGCCGCCGCTTTTGACACCTGTTGCACCCTGTGATCATGTGATCATGGTCTCTTTCTGTTACTTTCATAGTATTTATGAAAAACCGCATCCACTCTCAAAAAGAGAACCCCCGCAGTCCCAAAGAATAACCTCCCCCTTTGATGTCTATTAATCTTCAGTGATTGTTCTTTCTATCTTATTGCCTGTTAACAATACTGCCAGCATTATGATGGAGTATCTTTCCATTTTAAAGAAGAGATGATCTGTTGGAAACGTATATAAGTACTGTAAGGGCACTAATGTTTAACCATGATTAGTGTTATTCCGACCTTTTGGCTTTAGTGACAGGGCAATTAATTTGTCTTAGTAGACTCATAAATCCTAACATGATCTCTACCCTTCACATTCATTCTCTACCAAGAGACTTTATTCTTTCTGATCCTCATGTTGGATCTTGTATTTAGAGTTCAACACGTAATTTAGGAACTTTCTGCAAAAACGCCGCCCCTACTACTGAAGGCTCATATTCCACCAGTTCATTTATGAAGGTGCAACTGGAACAACAAATCTGAATAATATCTGCACAAGCTCACCTTTGTTCTGAACACCTCAAATCCACCGTGTCATCATGTGTATGCTACACCGGCCACGGGCGACCGAACACTATCTACCGGACCTAAAATGAGGTGCTCGATCTCCTGCACCTTCTTGAACGTGGTGTCCCCTCTCTTGCGAACTGTACCAACTCCGTACTGGACTCTCTGGCTTTTGATATATATGGGAATCCTCTCGTTCGAGACATTGCTTCCCATCTCTCTCAAAAGCGGCGCGTCAAAGGCCTTTGCGATTTCTAGCGGACTCATCGAGACCTTTCGACCCAGCTGCCACCAGCCGTAGAAAGTCGCTCCTACACTGACGACGCCCATTAAGCTAACAAGAGCGCCAAGAACCATGTATTTCGTGTCCATTGTATAAATGGTATGGGTGTCGTGACCTGTAAAGGGCACGCTTTGTTGTGCGTTCGTCACCGTCACATTGTTCTTTCCAGCCTGCAGTGCTGCCCTGAATGCAATTTCGCGCATCGCATCAAGCATTGTATCCATGGGGTCGTGGAATGTAATGAACCAACTGTCGCTCGTATTTGCAACCATCTGGTTTACAAGGGAGCCTGCAAGTCTTGTTGCGCTGATAGCCCCTTTGTACTCAAATGTTGCCTGGGAGCTAAAGAGATAATCACCGGCGTATTGAAAGCCGCCGATCACACTGTTCCAACCCCTGGTGGCCGGTGCTGTGAGGTTTCTGCTAGCATGTCAGTCTTGCCTGCTGTGATAGGGAAAAGCGTCAACGCACTCTAGCTCTAGAACTCATCTTCACTTCTAGGAAATAGGCTTACAGTCCCGCCTGTAAGACGTACTTTGTACGCTACGATTCCACCCTGTAGTTTGCAGATATAAGATGTAAGCAAGTAAGGCATATGCTGGCCGCTTAAAGAATTCTCGACTTTGAATCCCTCATAGAATGTTGCGTCTAGCTGCAAGCCGGCGAAGAACGTATTGTCGTTGTACGGGTTAAGGGGAATCGGGTAGAGCGTGACCGAGGTATTGAAAAGATTGTGCCAAGAAGCTAACGTTACGTTTTGTATGATAGAGTTGCTCTCTAATTCACAATCCACTTTGAAGCCGAAGCCCTAGAGTTATTCTGTTAGTTATTTTGCTGATATATTAATTTATGTGGAGCTGTAACACCTTCACGATAGTGGTACAAGATTCTCCGCACTCGGAATGATCCAGATTCATGTTCGAGTGTAAGGAATAGCCATTCATAATCTCAGTGAATGCGGATGTCAGCCTTGCAGTCTCATGCAAAGGCATTCAGGAATCAACAGATATTCCGCCATATTCACCTGGTAGTTGTTGTGCTACTTGTAACTCGAGGTTCCCTTGTGTCTCATAACGAACATTGCTGTCAACAGACGATGCCCTTTGGTTTAAAGGGCCTCGCAATAGAGAGAGGACAGCGAATATACAGGCTGCCGTGACATTAGTAACGTTAGAGATTTATGATGGCAGCCTGATTGCGGATGAATGAACTCACCAAGAGAGGTAACTCTCCCTCCTTGATGGAAACCTGCTGAGACCGCTTGCAATAATGAATATCCGCAATACCAGTTCCTATTCAACTCGGATAGCTACGATTCGACAAGACAAGGTTAGTGGTTGGTTTGCTTAGTACATAGTACATACTGTGCAGCTATGCAGAGCTTTCCGCCAGAACGAAATGACCAGTCCTTCTGCCAAGGCGACTGCCAGCAATGCATTAGAAACAACCGACAATACGGCGAGGCAGACAGATGGAGTGAAAAATCGCCAGGTCTGAACCGCACGGCCGTTGCTAGATGCCAGGACCCCAACAGCAAGTGCAGTGCCTACGACGCATTCAGCAACAAATAATTGGCTTCAATAACCTATCACTTACAAGCGAAAACCCCGATCAGTGAAGCGATTGCCAGGACTGGCAAGTTAGTCCAAAATCCTGTCTTCCAGGAAGCAATTTGGTCTCCTCCGTCTCGGTTCGGATCTTCATAAGGTCCCTGACGCTCATCGTATTGTGGTCGTATATCGTTATTATCTAAATTTGACCTCTGTGACCACTTGGGTCGAAGCTCCTGGTCGGTTTGAATAGCGGAATACTTTGAGTTAGAAAACTTGGTTGACAGGATTCGATCCATTAGGCAACAACAAGTTGTAAGGTCAATGTAATGGTGAGTAAAAATCTGCAGGAGATACGTAGAAAGCAAGTCGTTCTATCTAGAAGGGGGGCTGTCTGAACTTCAGTCGCATTCCAGCTAATAAATACCAGATCGGAA